GACTTTTTGCCCATTGTGAAGATACTTAATTTGACTCTAAGTGAGATGGAAAGGCACTGAAGGGTTATACAATGCAGGAGAACTGTGATCTGACTCAGCTTTCAAAATGATCACTCCACCTCCTGTGTTTGAAGACACAGTAGTATTATGTCTGAAGGGGCCATGGCCTAAAATGGCCAGGTTGTTACAACAAACCAGATTAGACTTGATGGTGGCTTGGACCAGGTTTGTAGGGGTTGGAGGTGGCAAGAAGCAGAGAGAATCTGGATATTTTACTGAGAATGGACCAGTAGGATTTGCTGATGAGTTGGATATAAGGTTTGAGAGAAATATACCAAAGATTGTCCCAAGCAAACAAAAGACTGAAGTAATCATTCACCAAAATCACAGAGGCCATTAAAGGAGCAGATATATAGGAGAATGGTCAAGAGTTCAGTCTTGCACCTATAAGGCTGAGGTGGCATTTGGCTATCCAAATCAAACAAGTTTTATATATGAGTCTGGAATTTAGGGATGTAGTGTTTACTGTAGACGCATTTGAGAGTTGTCAGCACACAGGTAATATTTAAAACTGCAGAACTGGACAAGATCACCAAAGAAATTAATTTAGATAGAGAAGAGGTGGAAGGACTGAGTCACTTCAGTGTTTAGATGTCAGGGAGAGGAGGAGGAGGCACCAGAGTAACTTAGAGCAGCTAATGAGATAGGGAAAAGACTAGGAGTGTGGTATCTTGGAAGACAAGTGAACAAAGTATTTCAGTAAGGAGAAAAGTGATCTACTGTATCAAATGCAGCTCATGACATAGGTCAAGTAAGGTGAGGGCCAAGAATGGACTTCTGAATTTAACAATGTGATCGTTGGTGTGTGACCTTTTCCAGCTCTGTCTCAGTGAAATGTTGGGAGTGATTAAAGTTGGTTTAAGAAAGAATTGAGTAGAAGAAATGGAAAGAGTGAATATATGTAATCCTTCAAAGACTTTTGCTTTGAAGGAGATTAGAGAAATAGAGTAGTAGCAGGAAGGAGATCTGAGTTGAGAAAGAATGTTAGTTGTTTTTTTCATTTTAAAGCAGGACAGATTATGGCATGTTTATGTGCTACTAGGAATTATCCAGGAAAGAGAAGAAATTGATAACGCAGATGGGAGAGGGAGTTGCTGGAAAGAGGCCCTCACCAAGCAAGAGCAGACAGACTCTGCACAAACAGAGGGGTTGGTCTTACACTGGGTTATCAATGGATTCAAAATACAGGAAGGCAGGCAGAGAATTAGGAGTACAGACAGAGGTGGCAGATAAATGTGATGGTGGGAGCTTGTGAAAAGTGTCTTCTGGTCCTGGCCAGGTGGATCAGCTGGTTGGGGTGTCATCCCATACACCAAAAAAGAAAAAAAAAGTTGTGTGTTCAATCCCCAGTCGGGGCAGGTACAGAGGTGGGGTGGGCGGGCAACCATTTGATGTTCTCTCTCACATCAACATTTTCAATGTTTCTCTCTCTCCCCCCCCATCCCTCCTCACTCCCAATCCCTTTCTCTCTAAAATCAATAAACATGTCCTTAGGTGAGAATTTTTTTTAAAGTTTCTTCTGAGTACTTCTAATTTCTCCATGAAATGGAAAGCTAAGTCATCAACTGAAAGGACTGGGGAGGAGAGGTTGAGAAGGTAGGAAACAATTATCTAGCAGAGTAGAAGAAGGAGTGGTCAAAGAAAGAGTACAGTGTGATGGCTGAACAGCCCCAGAGGTCAATTTCAAGTTCACACTCATAAACTTATGGAGACCTGTAAGCATGGCATTGTGCTTTATGCAGCCAAATTCCACTATGTGGGAGTCGTCACAGAATAGGCAGAGAATTAAGAGTTTTGCCACATAAGAGTGTAGAGAGTACCTACAAGAGAGTGATTAACTACAGAATTTATATTGGGTAAAGAGTAAGGACATGGGGAGGGAGAAGAACAGCGTAAGTTGGTTGAAGGATTAAGGAATTGTAGATCCTTGGTGGGGGCATTGGGAGAATTGCCGAACTGTGGGTTGGAGAGCAAAAACTAGAACCATGTGGTGGTCAGAGTAGGATGTTTGAAACTGAGAGTAAGGAGAGGTTGCAGTTGGAAATGCCAGGGTCAGCTGCATGACAAGGGCGTGAACAATTGATATAGAGAGGGGGCCAGACCTCACAGTGGAGAGTCGGTGAGAGACAGATAGCAAGGCGTTGGAATGATCGTCTATGTGGATAGTGAGTCATCAAGAATTAGGCAGGAGTGATGTTGGAGAGAGAGCAACAGTGAGCCACGAGCTAACATCTCTAAGGAATGAGAGGGCACGGCCAGGCAGGAAGGAGGTAGGTCCATGGGTGGCATAGTCTGGTATCATTCAACCCCCCCCCCAGGCTTTTTAATATCATACGTGTCTCACGCAGGAAATAAGGTGTACAGCTGTTTTGTTGGTCTCTGGTTCGTTTTTAGTGTTCCATCACCAACTGAATGTCAAAATACAGAAACACATATGAAACCCAGTTTTCAAAGGTTCGATTCTGACTCAGCTTGCTCAGTATTTTCTGGTAGTGTGAGCTTGCCTCTCTTGCCCCCGGCTTGATACCCAGGAGAGCATCTGTGACCAGGAAGGGCTCGGCTCCTGTCTGTGGTGTATGTGCAGCCTGGGACAAACAGCTTAAATTCTCTGGAACTTAGCTGGCTACTGCGTCTGTAAAAGAGCAGAAGTACTATGTATCTTTCAGGATTATTGTGAAGGTTGAACGTGACAATGTGAAAGCAGCCAAGCACTGTTCCCGGCATGTCATCCGAGCTCAATTCAAATTTTGTTTAACAGAGCTAAAATCTAGATACTTTGAGTTAAAATTACTGCAAAAATGACCATCTATTCCTTGTGATTAAAAAAAGTCCTATGTGAAAATGAAGCATTCGATACAAACTATTCGATAATTTGTATACCGCATGCAGGGTTTATATCATCGATTAGCTCATCCAGTTGAGAAACCTGTAAAATGGGTTACTACTGCAGCAAAAGATTTTACTTTACCCTCGTTATGTGATTAAGGCAAAAATATTTTTATTGCAATTATCTAAATTCAGTAAAATGTTTAATGAGGCATTCACTGCCTTGGGCAAGTTAGCATGAAATTTAATTTGCATTAATTTGCCCAAAACTTAGGAAGCAGAAGTGCACTGTGTTTAGAATTGGGTTCTGTGAGAGGGAGGCCGCTATTTATAGGCTGTTTCTGCACGTAGACTGAGATCCGTCTATCATCTTTTCCTTCACGGGGTCAAAAAAGTCACCATGAATATCACAGAGAATGGATCCCTACCAGATGCTTAGTGCAGTGGGTCTCAGGAATTTTCACAGATAGAGGGGGCGGGGCCTCTGTGTGTGGAATATCTGTAAAGGGCGGAGTGATGGAAGTCAAGTCAGGCAGCCCAGGTGCATATTCTAACTCTGCTGGTTATCGAATCCAGGGCCATGAGGCCTTATTTTCTTCACCTGGAAAGTGGGCATAGCCATACCTCTTGGGTTTGCCATGTTAATTGAATGAGGTGATATGTATGAAAATGTTTGTGTAGTACTTTAGGTGAAGGTAGGTGTTCATTACCATGCCTGCTTGTGAGTGAAAGAGTTTGGTAGAGACGACATCATCAGGCCTCTCACAGAGCAGTTTAGGTCGTCGTCCTTTCTCCTCCCCCAGGATGGAAAGTGTGCAGGCCTTCCTTTTTGAGAAAATTATGCTCCTTCAGGACATGTTGAAGAATAGCTGGTAACCACGCTAATTCTTCATCACTTCAGGGTGTTTTCCTCTCAGACTGAGGTGGAGAGAAAGCTTCATTGAAAATGTAGAGGATCAGTAAGAATCATTTAAGTGATGGGCTGACCTAAAGCCAACAGTGTTAGAGAGTGAAAGGATCTTCCAAGGCTCCCCTGACTCCAACCTTTATAAATTTATGGAAATAGAGCCTCAGGAAAGATGGTTACAATGACATTTTGAAATAAGCTTAAATTATAATTATTTTCCATAAAGACTGAGAACATTTGGTGACCATTGCATTCATGAGAATATTGTTTCACAGTTTCTGAGCTAGGTAGCGGGTCTTTAATTCTTTTCACCAGTTATAATGACTCAAGGGAAGTTGAGAGACACATAGCCTTGTCTCCCTGCGAAGGGAGAGGCGGTCTTCATAAAGGGTCTGGTGAGTGTAATTGAACTAGAGCAGCACTGTGATGGAGTGATCGGTTGTGAGCAGGCCTTGGCCACTGCCGGGACAGAGGATGAAGTGATGGTTGTGTGTTATTCTGCCAAGAGGCAGCGCTCTCACGCTCTTCCCGTCTGACTCCCTCAGCCTCAGCTCTGGCCCAGAGCCTCAGGAAGAATGCCATCCAAGGCGATCCTTCCTTAACTGGGAAAACAGGAGCTCCTTCAAGGAGCTTCTTCCCTACCAGTTCTGCCCCGGAAGTGAATAGATACTGCATGCGCACTAAATACACACTTGGTTATATCTGACTTTCTGGGACCTACCAGATCCTTTCTCATCTTGGTCTTTCCTCAGTGCAGTTCTCAGACCAAGGTGCAGACACAGCCCTGCTTCAGGCTCATTAGAATGTGTCTCATGTTACCGGTCTATTTCTTTCTAATGTTCTGGGAGAATCTTTAAAAACTACCTCACATGTAACATTATGGAATTAACTACAACATTTGTTCCAAGTGCCAAGTGTTATCCAAGCTTTGCCAAACCTGCAGTGTTATAATAACCCCACTTTCATGTTGCAAAACCATCAATAAACTGCCCCATGATATTGCGTAACTCCCAACCATAGCATCAGGGAGAATTGCAGGACTCCTCCAGGGAACACCTTTGTCACATTTTGCCATTCGTTTCAAATGTTAAACAGCGCCACCCTTTGGAATGTGTGGGGGGTGAATCTCAATGCCATCCAGAAGAATATGTAAGTATATAGATATTTCCTCCTGCTTTATTTTATTTTATTTTTTAAATCTATACAGGCAACAGCCTCAGATTCCAATCACCACAGGAACAGGTGTTGTGTATCCCGGTGCTATTACTATGGCAACTACCACACCATCACCTCAGATGACATCTGACTGCTCCAGCACCTCCGCCAGCCCAGAGCCCAGCCTCCCGGTCATCCAGAGCACTTATGGTATGAAGACAGATGGCGGAAGCCTGGCTGGAAATGAAATGATTAATGGAGAGGATGAAATGGAAATGTATGACGACTATGAAGATGATCCCAAATCAGACTATAGCAGTGAAAACGAAGCCCCGGAAGCTGTCAGTGCCAACTGAGGAGTGTTTGTTTGCTGAATTAAGTACTCTGACATTTCACCTCCCCTTCCCCAACAGAAAGTTCTTAATGAAGAGCCCGCATGCATTTGTGGCTCCACAATTACATCAGCAGAATGGTCTTAATTGTTTTGTAAAGTGTGAGACAGATTAAGTTTTCCCTGATTTTTCATGAACTTGAGTTTTTTGTCGTTATTGTTATTGTTGTTGTTGTTTTTTTTTAATTTAGGTGAAGACATATTAAATATGAGACACCAGGACTTGAAAACTTATCTCAACCCATAGCTGTCTTACAAGTCTTATATTTTTGTCTTACTTTTTTTTTCTTTTGGATGTTGATAAAGGTTTAAGTTACTGTTTTAGATGGGGTTAAACATTCTCACTCAGGTATGCTGTGCCGGCCTACAGGTTGTGAATGTGTTTTTATTCTGAATTACTTTAGAAAACAACTGAGGATTTCATGTTGTGAAACAGAACAAGTCCACGGCGTGTGCAGCTGCATGTGGAGCAGATTCGAAAGGCCTCGGAACTCTGTGTTTCCATGTGTAGAGTTCAACTTTGAATGTGCCAAACGTTCTCATCACTTTTGAATCTTAATATTTTGAAAGTCTTAAAGGAGACACTGCAAAGTCTTAGACAATCTTTGGCATCTTAAAATAAAATAGCAAAGCATACATTTTTTTTCCAGAAAATGGTAAAGTACTCAGGAATCTGGAGACAAGATATTGTACGGAATGAACAAGGTTGCCGCAGTGCACGTACCCAGTCGTGTTTGCCTCGACGTGCCATCAGCGTGCGGTGCCGGACCGCGCTCGCACACCAGAGCGGTCACCACGCCAGACACCGACAAGGTGGTCCTCTCTGCCTGAGACCACCTCTCACTACATCCATTATCCCTTTGCCTTTAACCCTGACATTCAGTCTTAACACATTTTCTCTTAAATAATTTATTCATTCCAGAATGTCAAGGGTCCACTTGCTATTTATTAAAAAAAAAAATTGTTGGTGGCATTAATTTAATAATTTTTGTTTTTCACCATCCTTCCCCGAAGAACCTTTCAGCCCTTTTCACCGCCTTCTCCTGCTAGATACAAAAGATGTACATAGTGATTTTACGTCCCCAGAGCATCTGGAAGCATTTCTGAAACAAGGTACTATTAAATACCGACATTGTTGTGTTTATACATGAGTGTGTATCTGGCTGCAGGGCTGTGTGTTCGGATACAGGTGCAGAGTCTTAATCTTCAACAGCTATGCCTGTGAGATTTGCCATGACCTTGAATCTTTGGCCAGAATTTCCCCCTATGTCAGCCCAGCAGCAAGTGGTGGGATCTAGCTTGGTGGCATTTCCCCTGAAGGCCACTCAGCAGCAAGGGTCAATGGTGGCGACTTCCGAGCAGGAGAGTCCCACAGCCAAACCTAAAGCCCAAGGCTGTGGACCACAGAGGGGGCTACGGTGATGCTGTCATTGGCTAGCACCTATAGACTGAGCTGCCTTTCCCATGTGGCACATCTAGGGAGTTCTTTGCAAAATCCCCAGGATGCAAGAAGCCATGTGACAGCCTCAAAGACAAGACAGAGGCCGATAGTCATGATGCATCCAGAGAATGAGAGAAAACCATAGGGAAGGAGAAGGAGGGGGAATACATTCCCTAGAGGGGAGGTTCCTACTGTTAACTCTGGGGAACAGATCACTCCCAGGGCAGCAGACATGTCCCTCCGGCTCACAGCCTCTGTCGGTGGCCATGTTGGGGGCAGGCCTCCCTGTGAACAAGATCAATGGCACTTGTCATACAGGGATTTTCTGGAGACGTGCTGATGGGCTGGGAGGCAGCGAGATCCCCAACTCCTAACCACAGGGAGCTCGGCCATGCCATTTTGACCTTCCTGAAACCGGAACTGATTGCCTACGGGTGGGCGGGGCAGGGGCTCACCCAGACTGGTTCAGTGGCGAAGGTCAGTGAATGGGACAGTCCACCTCACAGGACGACCCAAACCTGATCACCAGAGCATAGGAACGGCCCCATCATATTTCTTGAGCCATTTTGTCACTTGGAAGAAAATAGTGTACCTTCATATTTATTTAAAGAGTGTTCAAGGCCATATCTAATAGCAGCAAATAGGTCTAGGCAAGCTATTACTGGCCATGTCATTAGCTGGGAATGCTCTCTATAAGCTGACTTAAGGTACTGATAGGAATGTTTTGTTCTTAATATTGGTTGGGGATTGGAACTTTGTTTTTGTACATTTATTTCAAATGAGGGGGAGGTCATTTTTCTCAAAACATGAGTATTTATTATTATGGTCTTACTGATTTCTTTTGAGTATGTGCCCCTCCTCCTGAGTTCATTCTCATGGTTTCTTCTCACCCTCTTTGACTTTAGCCTTCGTCCTCTCCCACTCCTTTTTTCTTTTGTTGCTTAGGTAGAGTGCTGTACGGCTAGCATTGTATTGTATGTAATTAATTTTGCACAAGGGCAAACATTTAGAATAGCAGGTTAATTTTGTTTGTTTTATGACCATGCCAAAATAATATTCTGGGCTGGTGGAGAACAAAGGACTGTTCTTTAGGATTGAAACTTGATTTCACTTGTAGTAAAGACAAAACAAAACAAAAAAAACAACAAAAACACACACACTCACAGATGTTGTTTCGTAAGTGTTATAAGCACTGGATATAAATGGTATTTTTATCACTTCTGACTAATGTGAAACTGTTGTACGAAAAACTACATGAACAAAAGTCATCTGTTTCGACTCGTGTGGGCTTGCCTCACAGTTGCCGGATTTGAGTCATTTTTATGTCTTGTTATTTCATTTATTTATGCAAAATACATGTGTGTATGAACACTTTGTTTTAGCTCCAGCTCTGCCTCAGTACTGGGGTTCGGGGACTTCTAGCCATGTTCCCAAAAATGAAAGGCTGTTCAGGAATGATCTGATTGTAAACATCCCTTTCACTGGGTCAAACGGTGATGCTGTATTTGAATCTAAATTCTGCGCACAGGCAGTGTATTCTATTTATTAGCCAAGCGTGGCTCTAAATATCTTTGGGAGTTAAGAATGACAATCATAGGGATCACTTCATTTTATTTGCAGCGGGGCTTAAACAAAGTTTTTACGACTTTACCATCTCATTTTAGATTTTTCTAATTGTGTAAATGTAACATAGAAATAGAATTTATTTTTGGGTCATGAATGCTTAGTGAGATATAAGTTATGTATTTCCTTTTTGTTCTCTATCCGTATGTGTCAGTCCAGACTAGAAGTTGACGCATCGCTGCACCTCGTGGGGGTGGGGATGCGCCGCCCACAGGAGGGAGCAGGCTGCCCCGGAGCCGGGGCCACAGTGCCCTCCCCTCGAGGCCTCGTGCAGTCAGAAGCCACTGTCCACAGGCCAGACTTGGACGTTCTTTCTTAGAGAAAGTCAGTGAATCGAGCACACCACATCCGCAGTGCAGCTGGGAGAGAGTCCGTTGGCTCTGTGAATCCACATGCATTACATAAGGTCATTCTCTGACCGTTTACTAGCAAGAAGCATGAATGTTGCAGTGAAAGCAAAAATCTGCCTCTGAGATTGGCCGTTAACAAAAGTCCCACCATGCCAATTAGATTAAAGACTTTAATACACTTCTTTCAGTGCTTTTTTATTTTGTAGTATCTTCAAATCAAAGATAAAAATTATCTCTATTTCGATTAAGAACTTGCAGGATTAGGATTTTGCCATTAGAACGGGGACATTGACAGACAATCCCATCCTAAAAATGGACCACAAAGAAGAGAAAGAAAGGAGTGAAAGAAAGAAAGAAAGAAAGAAAGAAAGAAAGAAAGAAAGAAAGAAAGAAAGAAAGAAAGAAAAGAAAGAAAGAAGCAAAGAGAGAGAAAGAAAGTCAATCTGTGGACAGAACAGCCAGGCAAGCAATCTCTCTATTTCCCTGGCAGACACGACGCAGCATCTTTTCCAGGAAGGTACGAGAGCTTTGTTGTTTTCATAGCTCAACCTGTTAGGAGCACATCAGTTTGCTTTACTTGGTATTTGATACTCCCCAGCCTTGTCCTCAGGCCTGATTTGATTTGCCAGGGTCCTGACACGGACTCCCAGGCCAAGTTCTAAATTCAGGTGTGGGCTCACAGTGCTATTGAGCTTGTCAAATTCTGGCCTTCCCTGAACATTAGCCCCACTGGGACCTGGGTGTTTGAAAAGGGTGTGATCACTGTAGGGCTGAAATTAAAGGCTTCTTTCTTTTCCTTATGAAGCCAGGCTGCTTCTTTGGAGCACACCCTCCCAAGCCGGGAAGACAGGCACTAGCTGAAAGCAAGAATTGTTTTGAGGAAGTCTGCCCACCCCCAGTAGGAAGGCAGCCCAGTCACTTGAACACCACAGCAGAGGCTGCTTATCTCAGTTTACTAATTTTCCAAACAGGTGACCTCTGCGTACTCATTAGGGAAAGGAAAAAGAATCACTTAGTAGTTTTAAATCATATGAGAAGTCCTGTACCTAGTGCCAACAACTGCAAACAGTGCAGCTAGAGGAATGTATTGGAATTATTACTGGGTCTTCCTTTGTTATGAGAAAATGACAAAATGGTTGCTGTAACCTTGCCTGGTTTTGGACACGTTTGTCTAAGGACTGAGTTGGCACTTAAGCTCACTTCTCAACGTATAATAATGTTGTATGACCTCATTTGTCCTTTTACAGAAGCACTTGCATCGTTTCTTTAAGTCATCTGCCCCTGACATGTTTTCTTCCTTAATAAACAGCTTCTCTCTGTTACTCCTGCCGATTATGTTCTCTTTCCGATGCCCTACGCTGTTGAGTGTAACCCTCTGCTGAGATCATTGAAAACACTGATATGGAAACACACATTTCCTTTTCATCCCGATCCCATCTTTTCCTTTGGGGACAGACTGCTTTCCCAAAGCTCATGAACAAGTATTCGAAATGCTGGTATCTTGGGGGTGGGGCTAGAGATGGGTGGAGGAGGGGCGGGCAGGCGACCCTGCATGGTTCCATACTCTTGGAACCGGTGTTCCTGGCACTCTGAAAGCTCAAGGCAACTCAGTGACGTATCTTGCGCAGTAGCTTCTTATTCCTGAAGAACCACAAACATAAAGTGAGGTCTCAGTGCTGGTGCTCTTGGAGTTTGGGGAATGTGCAAATATTTAACTGTTTTGTATGCCGCACATTGCAGATCTGCTCATGTGCATTCTCCGTTTGTCTTCCTGCGTCCTATGTGTTTTTGCTTTTTTTGAAAGTGCAGTCTCTATTGTACCCTTCTCCAGCTTGTAGCAAGTTAGAATGCTTAGCATTTATGTTCATGCATTATTGTATTTGCCATGTAAAGTTTTTATTACCTTAGACAAGCTTATAAGCTGTTACTACATAACTTATCTTACTGTAACTCTTTTATTTCCTGACATTGTAATTTGTGATGTATATTGTGAGATTTGTATTCTATGTTAATTTAATCAGCACAATTCACTGACATGCTGGACTGACATGCTGGCTGCTGTTTCAAAGTGTAAAGTTTGTGTAGGGCTGTTGGGACAACTGCGACTCGGTTGTCGAGGTGCTGTGCTTCGGCTCCTCCGGCAGCGCGGCGGGCGTGGCCCCTGCGGCGCCCAGGGCATTGAATGCGCCCTTGAGCAAATCTTAACTGCAGATTTCCTTTGTAGAAATTCTATGTATAGTGCAGGTACCTACTTGGCCCATGGCTGGTAACTATTTGGGCAATTAGAAAAAAACAAAAACCATAAAAACTAGTGTCTATTGCTGCTTTGAATATGTTTGAAAGTCTGAAAATGTAAATAGTTTATCAAAAAAAATCTTGTACAGTCCAGTGTAAAGTTTTTAAATGACCTTAAGGGTTGCCATCACACATCTTTCTCACACTCTCCTCTTGTAATGGAAAAAAAAAAGTTCGCTAAGGGTTAAAGAAGTGGGGAAAGCAAAGAATCTCTTCAAATTTAAAGGAATGAGTCATTGTTCTTAGCTTTGTTGCATACGCCAACTTCTTGGATTTCGTTGTGCAGTATTGACATGAGACAAAACTCAGCATCGAATACTCTTTCAGTGGTACCTTTCGGGTCTCCTCACCCCTCCCCTGCCTCATAATTAAGGGAAAAGACAAGACTGAAAGACACACTTTCTTTACCTGTCTTGGTGTATGTTGGCACCTTAGCTACTTTTTTTTTCCTTTTTGCACAAGGTGCTTTCCTGATATGTCAAACATGCCATCTTCGGGTGATAATGTAAATGCCGTGATGGGGCCGAGGCCCCTCAGGGGAGTGTCTATAAGAACTGCCTATTTATGCTCATTTACCTCAAGACTGTCCTCTCTACCCTTAATCTAGTTGTCATCACTCCATCTTTTGTACTGCTGTTGACACTTACAAATTAAAGATAAATTTTGTTTTATGACCTCTGTGTCTGGCCTTGTCTGTGCCCTGCAGACGGTTCCCAACCTGGAGCGCCGCAGGCCTGAGGCTTGGCTCCCCACTCCCTGCTGGAGCCCCCGGGCTGCCCTGCCCCCTGCCACCGCCTGGCTGGGAGGAAGGCCTAGCTCACTGGGGGAGCTCTGGCCCCTCAGCCTGGAGAGCCTTGTCTGCTCTTTTCACTGTGGAACACACACGGCTGCAGCAGGAAATGCTTATGGATTTAGGTGGTGGGAACAGGAGCCAAGGTGGATTTTTGTCAAGAGATGAGAAAGGACGTCACTTCTTATTTGCCTGACTCCTTCGTGAGAGTGAAAGAGTTTGCAAAAGCCCAGAGCGTCCTGGGGTATGAATGAATCTCAAGGGCCCGCCTCTCATCTGACACCAACTTCTACACGCCTAGCAGCCAAGAGTAGGAAGTGCCACGCTTCTGGAACCTCTGCCTCCACTGTGGCTGGGCGTGGTTGGCTGATTTCTCAGTTGCTTCTGCCTCAGAGAAGGAGAGCTCCCATCCTGTTGTCCAGCCAGGAGCTGGTCTGGGAGCAAAGTGAGGTCAGCTTTTAGGAGTGTGAGGGATGCAGGTGGGGCAGTGGGCTGAAGGGAGCCGGGCCCATAAATGAGACTTTCCAGCCCAGCCCAGAGGTTAGTGACCAGCACCTAGAGAGTGAAAAAGTGTGAGGGGGTGCTGATCCAGCAACACGTTTTCTGCTATTTCTTATGAAAAATGCCTGATTAGAGAAAGAAAAGCCAAGGACTTCTGGAACTTTATCAGTCAGATTGTCAGTTTGATGCAAGCTGTCCCTAAGTGCCGGAGGCCTAGCATTCCAGGATCCTCCGTGTGACCCGTGGGCTTCTCCCCCCAGCCCTCCGCCATACTCCCAGCCCTACCCTGCAGTGGGCTTTTAAAAACTCAGGTAAGTACAGGGCAAAGCTTTGGAGTCACGGCATGCCGGCTCTGCCATTTGCCAGCTGTGCGACCTCCCCCAGGTAACTCCTCTGAGTGTTCTCCTCTGTACGATGGGATCAGGATCCTTACCGCTCAGGGTTGCTTGGGGAATTCCATGAAATGGCGTGTTTGAAACACGTAGCAGCAGGCCTGAGCACTCGGTGCAGGTATGAAGCTTGCTACCTCTGATCAGAGATTATGCCTGAGCTGGGAGAAGATTTGGCATCTCCTGCTGAGCAGAGGGAGGGACCTGTGAGAGGCCTTCGTTCAAAACCTGGTCCCACATGTGATTTGCCTAACCTTCCTCTGAGCTGGGCTTTCTCATTCCTGTTTATTCCCATCACTGCCTTTGGTCTTGTCTCTGCAACACAGAGCTGAGCTGTCCCCTCTCTCTTTTTTCCTCTCCTAAAGCCTGGCTTTCCATAGCTGACTAGAAATAACCCAAACTTCCTACCAGCCCCGTGGTCCCCTGTGCCCTTAACATGTCCTCAACTGCTCAGTGCTTCCCTCAGCCTGCCGGCCTGTCCACGACCTTGTGCCTCTCACTTCTCCTTTGCTCAGATTCAATTTGTGCCTTTCCCCGTGTGAGAAATTCCCGCTCTTTCAGGCACCACCCAGGTAGCACCACCTGGTTAGTGACAGCTTCCCTGGCTTCTCGACCAGTCTCAGGCTCCCCCTCGGAGGTTCCGAGACACTTAGAAAGGACCCCCCCAATCGCGTTTACTACACGGCGATAACTTGTCTGTCTTTTCTGCTAGATGAGCTACAGAAACAAGGGCTGTGCCTTGGCCCTCCCAGCTCCCAGCACACAGTGCTCAGCGTATAGGAAAGGCCCAGCACTTGTTTCTGGAATGAACGTGGCACCTGGGCTCTGTGTGTGATGTAGCCCGTGAGTACCAGGGACTTTGAGGATGGGAACGAGGGAATCTGCAGAGGTACCTGGGAACTACTGATGTCATTTGGAGAGCCTTATCAGTTGAAACATCTCTGTTCGTTCTGGGGGAGCATTTCAAGTCCGTGTGATGGCTTTTCCTGATCAGGCGTAAGGGCATTAAAAGTCACCAAGCTGAGAGGGTGAAGCCCCAAGTCTTGGTTCATTCCTGCCGTTGCTGGAGCGTGGTTTCCACTGTCCAGAGATCCCTGGAGAGCCCAGCTGTGGAAGGAAAGCTGTCTGATGCACCAGGTACAATGGCTCTAAGGTGCATTGCACCTAGAACAAACGGTAAGTGAGCAGCAAGCATTACAAACAAGGCCCTGATATACAGTTTTGTATTGTTTTTCCTCTCAGAAGCAGTCCATTTGTTTCTGGAAATGTTCAAACCAGTCAAATTCCATATACATATGCAAGAGAGACAGACAGACAGACAGACAAACAATGAGTGAGTCACCCAAAGTATTTTGTAGTTGAATACGACTTTACATTCTCAGCTTTAGAAGCCTGTCGAAGAAGCTAATGTCTCTGATCAGCGAAATACCAGTCTATTCCCCTTTGGTAATATTCTACCTGTATTGATATTTCTGTCAAAGTTACTATCATCAATAAAACCAAGGAAGTTTTTAAATGGCAATAATCAGTACTAGGAGCCATAAAGTATACACAAAAAATAATTTAGCATTTCTCAAGCTCAGGAAATAATAGTTTGATGTTCTAACACTCCCTGATATGACCTATATCATCAATTATACCCAAAAAGTTAGGCTGAGAGAAACAGTGTGAACCTTAAAACAACCTATTAAGTTTCTGACTTTGGATTACCTTGAATCAGCTCAGGAGAAAGTAGCATAAACACCCAAACCAGGTCTAAGGAAACAACAATATTTAGCATATTCTTTTATTTGAATCTTACGTATAATTCTGTTTTAAAGTATTTTACATATTAATTTTAATAAGAAAACAGTATATCCATTGTGTTATTAAAAGTAAATAAAATGTGAAATAAAATAAATAAAATGTGTTATTAAAAATAAATAAAATGGCTGTATCCTCACCATGGAAAGCAAAGCGCAGACTTTAGGTGTGTTTTTGAAATCGAAGAAGCCCAACACTATTCATGAAGGTCACAGGCAGGCAGGGGAGTTGGGGGAAAACAATTATAACATGATCCTGGTCCCTAAACAAGCCAACCGTTCTCCTGTGATGTGACATTGCACTGTCCCCACTCACCTTGAGTTAGAATATATTTAATGGCAAAAATGCACTCATATTCTATACTTGGGTGAAAACCTCTATAAAATAATTAAATGCATTTGTTACACATTAAAAACAGTTCACTTAGAAAAGGCACTTGTTTATTAACACTGGAAATAACAACACCTGCTAAATATATGGGCGTGAAGCACTGGAGAATGAGAAGTGGATTCTCCGGCAGCCACCTCTCCTTCGGCCCCGGGGCGGGGGGCATCTTTGGATCACCACCTGCAGAGATAACCTAAGCCCTTTAATATTCAATTTAATTTCATATGTAATTAAAATGTTCACTTAATTTCTACTAATTCTTTTCCAGAGACTGCCAGGAAGGCAGGTAGTTGCTGTGCCGGGGGTGGGTGTCAGCCAGGCACGCCTGCCCTGGACAGGGCTACGGAAAAGACAAGTGATCTGGACCTTAAACTGTGTCAGATAAGACATACCAAGGGATAAATGCTGCAGCTATAAATACAGCTCACAAAGCTGGATCGTTTTTCAGGCTGTTGAATGTCGAAGGCCTGCCAAACACAGTGTCATATCTGGGACTCTGTTTTTGCAACGCTACTGCAAGGAATGGCTAAAGTCCAATTAATTTAACCAAAAGGAAAAAAAAATCTGGGACGTGAGGACCAGAGGAGTTAAATTATCCAATCAAATCTTGGAATTGAAATAAATTTCACAAATTTTAATATGATGCTTGGAGAAAAGGCAATTTAACCCTAAATTTCAGTCAACTCCATAAGGATACACTAAAGGAATACAGGACATGCTTGAAAAGGTTAAATATTAATCTTTCTATTGCAATCCTGTGGGTCAGACCATGCAGATCTATGAATCACATCAAACTTCCTGGTTAGTCTTCTTGGGGGATAATCAGAAAGTTGAGGCCACCTGGAGAATCTCTTCTTCTAAACAGAGCAAGACAAAAGGGAAAACCCACAAAGCTTTGGAGAGATCAAAAACTGCATTATTTAGATTTCATTGATTATAAATGACAGAACTCTACTTTAAATGGTTTCTGTAGCCAAAGGGGATTTAGTGGCTTACATAAGTAAAAATGTATAAGTATAGCAGGGCTTCAGGCATGGCTGAATACTGGCATTCAAACGGAGCAGTGAGACTTGATGTTTTAATCTCTCCACTCTCGGTCCCAGGTAGTCTCTTTCCATGAGCTATGCCTCCGCAGCTCCAGACTTATATTCCCTCAGTTTTAAGTTCAACAGGAAGGGAGTTTATAGAGCTGCTTCCTGGTTTTCAGTTTTAAGAATGAACACTAAATTTCTAACTCTGAGTCCTCTCTCTGTGTACCTGCTTTGCAGTAGGAGCTCACAGATGAGCCATGTAAAAGATTATGGTTGTTTTCTCTTTCCCGCCTGAGTTATTTTCCCTGTATTTTATTTTATTTAGCTTCTTTCATGTATGAAGTTGTCTATGTACTAATCACAACTTTAGCTCTTCCATTTGTTTAAATGTCCTCTTTACTGTGTTCAAAAACATTACTCATTTATGAATTTTTTCTTGAAGAACCATTTTCTGTTCCAACATAGATCAGTTGTTGGATAAGCCTATTGTACAACTTTGGTCTCGGGCTCCCCCTTCTCTATCGTACTGCATGCTTCTCCTGTGTTAGATATGTTGTGCCCTGGATTCTGTCTTTCTCTTGCTTTGTTTACGCCCTTGTTTTGATGGAGCACATCCTTACAGGTGCTTCTTGAGGAAGGATATCTGAGAGGTACATTTTTTTGAGACTTTGTCTAAAATATACTTTGAGACTTTGTCTAAAATAATCATTTGACTGGGTAGAATTATAGTTTGGAAATTATTTCTCATACTTTTGCAGCTATTGCTTCATTGT